TGGTAAGGAGGAGTTTCTGGTGAACTTGGAGAGTAGCTGAGAGGCTGACAGTCTCTGCAGACTCTGGACAGTCAAGGTGACATGCATTTGGCCACAACAGAGAGAAAGCAAAATCACCTCAGTGAGATCAGGGAGAATATATCTCTCTGTTTTTACTCACGTCTAAGTCAATCTATTTTGAAAACTTGCACTCAGTGTATGTAACTGCTGAAAATAAAGAAGCCTGGACACATTATGTAAGTACAGACTGTTAGATCTGTCTATGTTTAAAAGGATTCAGTAATGTTTCAGCTCTTGGTTTTGTTTTTTTTTTTTTTTATATATATAGAGAGGGGCAAAGAAAAGTGCTTTGCTGAGAACACTTCCTCATCATCCTCCTATTGTAATTTGTGCAGTTATTCTTGTAGGGCTGGATACAGAGAGGGTAATCAGGCATTGGAATGGCCTACCCAGAGAGGTGGTGGATTCACCATCCCTGGAGGTTTTTAAGCAGAGACCCTTAGTGCCATGCTATAGTAATTGGAGTTGGATCAGGGGTTGGACTTGATGATCTTGGAGGTCTTTTCCAACCCAATCTATTCTATGATTCTATGATTCTATTCTATGATTCTATACAAGTCTGTTTTGCTATCATAGAATAGTTTGGGTCACAAGGGACCTTGAAGAGAATCTGATTTCAAGCCCCCTGCAATGGACAGAGATACCTTCAACTAGACCAGGTTGCTCAAAGCCCCAGACAGCTTGAACACTTGTACTGTCTTTGAACACTGCCAGGGCATCCCCAACTTCTTTTGGTAACCTGGTCCAGTGCCTCAACACTCTCGATCTATATTTATCTACCTATCTCTATCTTCCTAGAGGGTAAAAGAATAGAATTTCAGATAGAAGTCAAATAATCCCTATTTTCCTCACTGTCTACCCCGCGATGCACTTTTCTGATTCATGGTTCTGCTTTTCCTATATGTTCTTCCCTTTCAGAATTTCAGTGGAGCTGTTGCCTTTAATAAGGGGATAGTCTATTCAAAATACACTTTAGGTGGAGTCCCCATCCTGCATATATAGGGCATGGGCACTGTTTGGGAAAAACCATGCTCTATAATTTTACCTTCTTGCTTCTGCCACACAAAGGGAAGTCAAAAGGTTTCCATCACTTCAAAGGGAGAGAGTTTTTCAAGTTGATATTCTCCAGACCCAACTTCCTAGATGACAAAAGAAGGTTTCCCCATGAACTGGAAGAATATCCCTCACCTGCTGATCCTATAGCAGCAGGGATGGAGGGGAAGAGCTATGGATTTCAGGGACCAGAGGAACTAGACAACACAAAACCTACAGAAATTCACTGTAGTGCTCCTGGTCTGTATGTTTTCTGCTGAACTGTCTTCAGAGGTAAAGGGAACAGTATTGAATTAATTGGGTCAGTTTATGTGTGGAAGAGCAGAACCAATTAGGGCTGTGTGGGAATGCAAGTGTAGTAGTGGGAAAATCCAGTATATTTAGGGAGTAGAATCAATTAGGAACCTGCACTGGAAGAGCAGGGGGATTGTCCAGTTATAAGACACTTCACTGCTCTAGGGGAATGGAAATGCTCTTTTTTTTTTTTAGATGATAAGGAGGCAGAACAGAATGAAGTAGGTAGAGCAGAGAAAAAATTGAAAGGAAACTATTCCGTTCTCCCAAATTCCTTTATCTGAAATTAATTCCTCCCCTCCCAGGGGAGGAATTAAATGTCCTTTTTCCATTTTTAATGCAAAGGCAATTGAAAATGATATAATAGGTAGAAATTTCCTTGCCTTCTTCCCAAATCCAAGGACCAATGTCTCCCTTCCATTTCCATACACTGGCATTAAATACATTGGACTGGAGTGTACGTTCTGTTATTTTCTTTCTTTGTATAAACTTCAGTAGTGGAGAGAGAGGAGCTACAGATAAGCCATCTCAGCAAAGGGTTGTCTTTCTATGCTGAAGGAGACTATATGAAAGGTGTTACCACCATTCCTGAGATTGCTGATTTACCTATTTCCAAATCAAACCTGCTATGCAAATTTGAACGCAGTTGTTCTCAGGGAGACTTGATGTTAGCAAATATAGATTCTGTTTATATATACTCCTTCATACATATTTGTTTTTTCATATATCAGTATTTTGAACTTCATGACACATTATGTTATGCAGTATATTTTCTTTTAATTGGGCCTGTCTAAGGAACACAAGTATTATAACATTATTATAATAGTCTGAGGTCTTAAGTTTTGCAATGTAAAAAACTTGTAACTATGTAAAGATAAGATTGAGGAAATAATGTTCTCTCAAAATGATAGAAAAAAGGAAGTACCCATATAAAATGAGGGCAAGCAACAGCGGGTGGTTTATATTATACTTCGATAATATTTTTCTCTCAGATTAGGAGCCCTAAATACAGGGCTCTTCAATTCCTACAAGATACCTTTGGCAAAACCTCCAGACTTTTAAAACTCTGATTTATATGTACATATGCACATTTTAAAAAAGCTTTCTCAGTACTATAAAACCTACAAGAAAGAAAGAAAGAAAGAAAAAAATTATCAGCCCTTATCCAAATTTTAGTGGGCTGTGAGTCTTCCAATGTAGGTGGGCGCATGCTGCTTGGCTACTCAGCCCTGTCCTGTGGAGGACCTGATGTCTTCCATTTGTTCCCCTCTGCATTACATTTCCTGAGCTCATTTGCAGCTGTCTCCATTATTCACAGCTCTGAACTGATGAAAGGAGAAAAGAAAACATATGTTTTATCTGTATGTTAACTGTGAGAAGGTTTCAGGCGGGGCAGTGGGCAGGACAGATGTGGAGATGGTGACCCTTGCTGTTGCCTTGCAGGAATGTCAGCTCTGCTGGAGAGGAGGCCCGCAGAAGAATGAGGGAGTGTGATGGCCTGACAGATGCATTGCTGTACGTGATCCAGTCTGCTCTGGGGAGCAGTGAAATTGATAGTAAGGTTTGTCATCTTTGTCTTTTCAGGAGCAAATGCAGGTGTTCAGGTACATGGGAACTATAAAGTGACAGGTTTTTTGTGCCTTATTTTTTTTTTAAATGCATTGTGAAGGATGACTTAGCAAAGCATAATTTAGCCCATCTTTTCTTTTTACTTCTGCTGATCTGTGTATTTTAGTGTGCTAAGCATTGTATTTGTGTATACCTGCAGAGTGTGCACAGGTAAGCATGTCATCCTGAGTTGAATTATTGAAGAAGAAAATATGATAGTGGTTTAAAAAGAGCAAATATGTCATATTCCATGTAAAGTTCCTTACATTGCTCTGCCAGTTTTACCTTAAAATTTATTTTTTAGTAGTAGAGAGCTAATAACAGTAAAGTAGGCTTAGAAAGCAAACAAGCAAAAAAAAAAATTGTCCCATTAATAGGCAGTTTTGCAGGAAAGCAAACGTTATTTCTTCTCTGAAGAGGATCAATGAATGCTTTCAATAACAACTGTGTTAAGATCCCTCATAATGTCAACTTTACTTCTCTGAAAGTACTCCGTTATGAACAAGCTTCTCCAAAGGTGAAAGATACTGCCTAGTTAAAAAGACTCCAAGCATTTACAAACTGAAGATTTGTAATACATTAAGGTATTACAGAGAGGAAAAGAAAGGCTAGTTTCTTTTGCTTCCAGTATACAGTGCTAAATTAATTACAGTTGCTGCTCTAGGGCAACCTTGGTCCATTTGCAAACTCCGAGGAATTGCAGGAGAGCAGTCTTTTATGCAGCAAGATTTTAAAACACAGTGGGTTTATATTTCCAGACGATTCTTCACAGAGTTGTACGTGGACCTCTATGGGTTTATAGATCCAAGAGGGACAATCCCCAGAAATCTCTGGTCACTAAGCTGAATCAAACAGGTGAAAATTGCTTGTGAATTCAGGGGACAGAGAGAGGAATTAAGAGAGGTGCTGGGCTAGCAGTATGGCTTTGGGGTTTTTTTAAGACAAAAAGCACCCCAAAAATTCCCACAACCCATTAGTCTGTAATCTAATGAGAAGCACAAGGAAAATGTTCAAAGGTGCAAGTGAAGAAGGAGTGAAATCTGCCACCTATGTGGTTATAAACAGCTTTCTTAGTTTGTAGGGTTCACCCTAAGTGAAAAGGTGTTGATTGCATTTGAGCCTTAGAAGTTTGCTTATCAGTTTTAGTTTGAGGTAAAATTGTCCTCCTGATGGACTCAGCTTATGTTTTCCAAAAAATAAGAATTTTAAATGCAAAACTTATTATTTTTAAAAAGAAAAATTAAAGTTTAGAATCTTAATCAACAAATGCAAACCTTCAACTTAAGCATATTGTGGCAAAACTGAACAAAATTCATGTATGAGTATGTTAAAGAAAAGTCAAAAAGGCAGCAAACATTTTAAAATATTCATGGTCACTGTGATGTCTGGAAAGCTTTCAGCTATGAAAGGTGCTCTAAGAACACTTTCTACACACACACACATGCACATATGTGTTTTTTACATGTGTTTACATATTTGACCAGAGATTTTAAATTCGTAGAAGTGTGTTGTGAAATTTCATCTTTGTTAAAAAATAGATGAATAAATATTCCTGCATAAATGAATCAGAATTAGGTGTTGTCTCTGGAACTTAGTGTCATCACAAAAAATGTGTGCATACCTGGCAGAAGCTCATACAGTATATTAAAGTAAACGAAGACCCCTCTTTTTGCCTCACTGGAAAATATGGCAGAATACGATAGAACTGAAAGCCTCACAGTTATTCCGTTCTACGTTAATGGAGCAGCAGTGCTGGGATGTAGTGACTATTGCTTTTTATCTCCGGGGAGCATTAGAAACATTTGAAATAAATATAGATAGATAGAGAATGGCTTTTTTAACCAGGCTTTCCCTGCCTCCAGAAAATTAAGCTCATATCCTTCTTATTAGGGATAATCAAACCCAAATTGAACCAACTAAATGAGTAGGTTTCAAGTCTAAACTGAACTTCTTTTAGACTTGCAGAAATTATTTTGAATTATAAGTGAATTTTCCTCCAGTGCATCTCATCCATTTATGGATTCCTGCTTGCATCTTCCATAGAAGGCATAACCTATTAGGGGGAAAAATGGATGAAAGGGAAAGGCAGTACACAAGATATCTATCTGCTAGAAGCAGTAAAAGCAATAAGACTCTCAAATTTCTAGTTTTACATCTGGACTCGAGAAACGTCATCTATTCACGCTACAAGTACTTGTGAAATAGAACTGAGATCCCATTTTTCTAGTAATTTACATAGAATTTCTGCAAGAAAAAAAGGTTATTTCTGGTTTTAAAAGTATAAAACTAAAGACAGAACCTATTGCCTGTTTGTAGCACTTTCTGTTCACTGAGGTGGGAGTTTGCTGACATTCTGAGTGTTCAGATTCTCTTGATTATTTTTTACCTCAGCATCTATATCACATGGGACTCCACTGTGAAATTCTGAATGAAAATAAAAAAAAACACCCAGAAAAATATTGTCCAGCCTACTGATTTGCTACCATAAAAATTTCTAAATATCTTAAGCTGGGGAGCACTCAGAATTGTGCTGGGAAAATGTATGTGCAAAGATAGATGAAATTCCTTCTGCTTTGTATACAAAGTGAGCAAGGGAAGGATTTTAACTTTTTTCTGGTTTTGTTTTCTGTATTTTTCTTTTTGTCATACTTTTCAGACCGTTGAAAACTGTGTGTGCATTTTGAGGAACCTCTCATACAGGCTAGCTGCAGAAACATCTCAGGGACAGCAGATGGGAACAGATGAACTTGACGGATTACTCTGTGGTGATGCCAATGGAAAAGACACAGAGAGTTCAGGGTGCTGGGGGAAGAAGAAGAAGAAAAAGAAATCACAAGATCAGGTAATTAAAGTTATTGCAGCTGTGTTGTGAGTGGTTGAAGTGCCCATCATTTAAAATATAAATAATTAATCCACTGTATTAGAAATAAAGTGCATGATGCATAATATACCAAACTGTTGCCTTTGTTAATTAGCTGAGAGCTTAAAGTGGAATATGGCTCTGGAGTAATGAATTTTGTTTGCCTGAGAAAGTTGTACATTATGTGGCGCACCTGGAAACTATAGTCATGAGTACACTGTGAACGCCATAAATACTGTAAATGCACTATTAAAGGAAGCAATTTATAATGAAAAGTGTAATCTGCATATATTTTACACTGTACTTCCACATAGCCATGTATGTGTAGAAAGGCCTTGATGAAAGCAAACATCAGTCTATATTTGTATACTTATTTGCTTCAAAGTTAGCCTTGGACTGTGCCTAGATATGTGTTGGGAGAAAACTGTACAAGACTGAATCAAGCAATATGATTGAATGTTAAAAAAGCTGTATTTTGAGATATTTCATATTGTTACCAAACAAAGATTGAAAAGTAGTCTTGATATTTTCCTGAGGTGCTGTCGGTTATTATTTTGTGTGGGTTGATGTTCAAAGTGTATTTTTCTCCATTTTTTCCCACTAAGAACTTAGAATTTGGGGAATGCTGACTGTTATATTGCAGAGAAAGATACTGTATCACTAAATAGCAGTGAGAATGGCTACTGCTTTATGAGCTTGTAGATGGCCTGTGCTGGCAGCAGGTAATTTTCCATCTCTTCCTACACTTAGTCACTTTTTTGCATTTTAATTTATTTCTGTTTCAGATTGCTCAAAGAAAATATGTATTTGAGTAAGCAATTAGGTTCACTGGGTATTTGAATAAATTATGTAAACTGGTACTGAAAAATATTCCTGAGTTCATAACGCCAGATTTCACTAATGTGGAAAAGTTATAGGAACGTTAATAAGCTAAAATTTGGTTACTGAAAAATGCAACACTGCTGACTAATAAGACTTTAATTTCCCCCACTCTTCTAGTTAAACAATTCTGTCATCAGATAACTTGAATTTATTATGGACTTTTGTTTGGATTCCTGTATTAGGCTGCAGTGAGATTAAAAATGCCAAAGTAAACTAATTTTACTCCATAAAGCAGTCATCATCCGTGTTCCTGAATTAACAGTTCTCACACACTATGCTTGCAGTTATTCAAAGTGCAGGAACAAAAAATAGCATGTCTGGATATGAATGAGTCACACTACAACTTGTCTTGCTCCTTGATGCTCTGTTTATGAACGCATGTGCACGCATACTATGCAAAGTCTTTTGTGAGTCTTCCTTTTTTATTTCTTCTGTGACTTTTGGGTTTTAGATTCATACTTTTAACTCTGTACAACTGACTGTTTCAATGTTCCTGTCAGGCTTCTCTTTACATAAAAGGATCCCTGTAAAAGATCTTTCTCCTCCTCCAGGCCAAAGAACTAAGCTTTTTTGGCTGATTACCTTTACAATGTACATTATTCTGCCTGCTCTTACATATCTTTTGTCTGTTCCTATGAGCGGTCATTATCAGCACACAGCATGGTAAAGGTCTCTTCAGAGCTGTTTGTGTTTCTGTAATTGAAGAGTTTTATATAATTTTTAAAATCCAAAGAGAAGTAAAACTATCCACATATTTTCAGGTTTATGATTACTTGGCCTTTCTGTGGCAAGGACATCAATTCCAGAACTGATTTCATGGTTCAAAGGATTGCTTTGCCTTACAAATATTACAAATATTTTTTCTAATTATGTTTTCTGCGTTCATGTAATTTCTTTGAAATTTGGACAGCCTCCTTCATCTTGCCTTATACAAGTCCTCACATGTGGATTTTACATAGTTTAGGAATTTTAAGGGGGTCTTGTGAGCCTTATGCATGATCCTTGACTGTTGTTGACCATACCAAATGTTTTGAAGTATATTATCAAGTTAATATATTATCAAGTTAACTAGAATGCCGCTAAAAACGATAGCAGTGAGGTCACCATGCTAGAAACAGCTCTCCCAAGTTACCATTAAAAGTGGAAAAGAAGTAACTGTGCATTTATACTAATAGCATAGAGCAGCTCAAACTGTGGTAAGGGTAAACGGAGGCTTTTTGACCATTTATTTTGCAAAAATAAGTACACAAGTCTATTCAGAAGCTTTTTTTATGGAAGCCACCTTGTCCAGTTGTGTAAAAAAAGTGTTCTTTCTTCTTCTTTGCTCTGTCACTGTCTTGAGGCTTTTCAGGACCACCTGTAGATTCATACTACTGAAAAGTAGGAATAACTGGAAACTCACGTTATTATCCTCTAGGCTATGTTGCAGGCAGGAATACTCTGTTTACTATTTCTCTGTGTGTCAAGAAAAATCAGTATTCTTGGCTGGTTTGAGGGATTTTTTTTTTTCCAGGCAAAAGTCCCTAACAACAGGATCATATTGATTTCCTCAGTTTAGTTAAAATACACTAAGCTCATGAAAACTTCCTGCAGGAGGATTAATTTCCCATATCCTTTCACCATACATTGTCTCCCTATGTGCTGACAGAAGCTCTGTGTGTTGCACAGGTACCTATCAGTAATCTCATTGTTTTTCTTCAAGACTTTTAAATATTTCCAAGTAATGCCTTTCATAATCTCTTTTCAATTGCAATGCTTAAGCTGTTACCTGCTGCTTATTCTGTCCCTCAGAACAGATCTCGTGCTCCCCTTGGGATGCTATTTTTAGAGTGTTCATTCCTTTAAGTGTCTCAACAGCAAAGCTTTTGCGCTCTACAATATCTTATAGTTCTGAAGATCATACTCATGATGGGCAGTGTTTTACATGTAAATAGTGAAGGGATACCTATGCAATCTTCATCGAATGCAATGATTTACAACATCTGAAACACTGGAGTCGCAACACACCACCATGGATTTGGGATCTGTGAAAGGAAACTTCAGAGAAATAAAAGACAAGAAAGATACTATAGTAATCAGTTACCCAGATGCCCATGAAGAGAGGGCACTGAGCTTTAAGCCACTTTTAACAGATCATTCACACTAGAAAATACAAACCTAGATACCTATCAGAAAATTGGGCTCATTATTATTGTCACTTGTTGACACACAAAATGGAGTTCAGCCCTGGGTTAAAACTTCAGTCATTTACCTGTGTGATTCCTTTAATATTTGAGAGTTTTAGCTTTCTGTTGGGCAAAGGACAGGGCACAGATACATCTCTGAGTTGTGAGACCTCAGGGAACTAGTGTCCAGTCATTGCTACATTTTATATCCCCAGAAAGTATGTGCTGAACGTAGAGGTATTGTTCCTTTTTTGGCAGTGAGTGGGGATTTTGAATAACAAAATTGCTGTTTCATTTTTTCTCAGAAGGTAATGTTTACAAAACTGAGGCGAAAAGAATGTTCAGATTTTAGTGAGTGCAGTTTTGAAATTTTCCTATTACATTATTGCTGTTGCTTCGTTTCTCAAGTGTGTATTTTCTTGAACTCCTTTAATTTATGCATTTGTGGGGGTTTCTTTTAATTTTTAGATTAAAGTGTCCAACAGTACTAGTAGCAAAACTACTGTAAATGGATAATAATACCAGATGTCTCAATTTAAACAAAGGATGTGGATGAAGCTGCAGTTTTCCATACTTTAAAGAAAATCCCTTACACAGCTAGGGAGTGTGTTTCTTAAACCATGAAACAGGAGAAACTTGACATTTAAGTCAGTTTCTCATTGGCTTTCTATATAATGAAGGTAAATGTTAATTTTTTTGATTTATGACTTAGGAAACAATTATCTCAATTTTTCTAGGTTATGTTTCAGTCACAGGTAAGTAACTTGAAGAGAAGAACAGAACTGAGTGGTAGTACAAAATGTGGCTTCTTTCAAAGGCCTTTCAATAACAAACTGGAATTTATTTTTCATTTATGACGTCAGTTGTCTATACTAATGGCAACTTCCCTACATCTTGAAATCAAGTAAGAGATGTGTCTTTGTTCAGATCGTAGTTAAGTCTAATGACACCTTTCAAATTACTTTACTTAAGGAGTTCCCTTAGGATCATAGGAAACAAATGTTCTCCTCATTTCACGATAAAGGTGGGTGGTGTTAAAAGAACCCACTCTCTTCAGTGGTTTACCAGAGCTCAGAAAGGTTCCTGAGGCATCTGCTTTGTCACACAAATTGAATGCTAGAAGAGACCCAAACCTTCTAAAGATTTGCAATAAAAGCTAGATATAGCATTGGTTTTAATTATGGAAAAATAGAAAGCAAAACTTCTGTAAAGGCCTCAGAAAAAATAAGTGAGACTCACCTGACTTTATTTCTGTCTCAGACCTCTAGGACTTGTAATTCTCAGCTGTAAATGTTGTTCATTAGTTTCTCTCTGCTGCTTACCTGTGACCAGCTTTTACTGAACCCTCACCCCAATAAGCTCTCCTGCTGTAAAGGCCTTCATTTCTGACTAGGAGCTTGTAGACATCAACCTGTCTGCCTTGTATTGAAAAATCAGATGGAAACTGATTTTTCCACTGCTGAAAATTTTGTTCCTGCTGTTGGTATGCTCATTGCTTACCGACAGGTTTATGCTTCAAGTTGTGCTAGACACAAGAATTATGATAAAAAACAGTTAGGGAAAATAAGGCGTATGGTCCAATTTCAGTAAAAAAACCCAGGGACTTGTCGTTACTCCTTCTTATATTTCTTGCTATCCAGCCCATTATGTATACGTGTGGCACTATTTTATTTATTTTCCTTTCTTCCCTAAGAAAAAACAGGCTGACTTTTTGGCTTCATGCTCCTCTCAAGTTCCCCATCTGTGATCATTCTTGTCAAACCAGAATCTAGCCCAAAGTCTGTTTTTGATTGGAAGTGACACGTTTGAAATGAGCCTGACCTTCTTTTTCACCTTCTGTCAGGAGCCTTAAGGTATAACAGCAACATTTCAAGTTATATATCATTATGAATTGACTGGCACACCTCTTTAGCATGCTTGCTAAATGGCCTATAA